AGGTGTCCCGCATAAGAAGGATGCCTCAGGGGTCGGTGGACAAGAGGGCTTGGAAGATACTTTATGGGTAATTATTTGAGCACACTGTTCATCTTGTAAGTTCCTGACAGACGTGTTCCTGGAAGAGTTGAGACATGTGTCGGCAACCTGATAAAGGGGAACCCCTGAAAGTTTTTGGGAGATGTCAACTGTTGTGGAAGTAGTTTCATTGAGGATCAGTGAGCCGTTGACCAATGAGGAGTTTAGTTGTATTGGGCTGGCAACTAGTGAAAGAATCCTGCCTTGAGGCACAGCCAGCATCCCTGAGCCAATGTGGGGTTAGTCAGTGGGGTAACCAGTGCCTCAGATGATGAGTGGTGTTAATGATCTGGATTAGAAGGGTGTCCTTCGGTAAGGACTCCCATCTGACAGATTTAAGAGCTTTCTGGTGGGATGCAACATGGTGGCGGACCTTATCCTGAACCCCTCCCCCATCTGACACTCCAAATCATAGGTGGCTGCCACAGCTATGAGACAGGGAGGTCCATCCCCGGACGGTAGGGTCCAGTTGTTTGGATAGATAGGCTACTAGAGCAAATGTTGGTCCCTGCTGTTGGCCTAGCACCCCTAGGACATATAGAACAAAGAATCTATGCATGTCAGGTAAGTGAGCGTGGGGGCCTCGAGGAGGACCTACCAAAGTTTATGGAATGGAGCTGGGATGGCATTAGGAGTGGTCGCCAATGATTTTCCCCTTGCTGTATTGTACAGTGGGGCAGCTAAAAGGGAAAAATTGAGGATTCCAGGCTTGGAAGTATCCCGCCAGCCCCAGGAAAGAGAGAATATCTTCTTTGGTGAGTGGGATGGACAAATTTGGAATCAACTGTTTCTGGTCCAGGGTGATGGCCTTTTTTCCCTGAGACACCTGGACTCCTAAGTAGGTAATTGCTGATAGTGAGAGCTGGACCTTTTCAGGAGAGACCCCAGTAGCCCTTCTTGGAGAGGAATTTTTTTTAAGTTGTTGATGGACCTTTATTTTATTTATTTGTATATGATGCTGAGAATCGAACCCAGTGCCTCGTGCATGCTAGGCAAGCGTGTTACCACTGAGCCACAATCCCAGCCCCTGGTGAGGAAATTAATGAGGGAGACAGTGTCAATCTTGGAGATAGGTCGGAAAGGACTACAGAGAGTGAATCATCCACATACTGCAAAAGGGTGGAACGGGGAAGAGTAAGACCCCGAAGGTCTTGTGCCAGGGCTTGGCCAAAGATATGTGGACTATCTCTGGAGGTTTGAGGGAGGACCATCCAGGTAAGCTGCTGGGAATGATGTGTCTTAGGGTCGGTCCAGATGAAGGCAAAGATGTCCTGAGAATCCTGAACAAGGGGAACGGTGAAGAAAGCATCCTTCAGGTCAACTACTGAGAAATGGAAAGAGAAGCAAGGAATGGAAGAGAAGATAGTGTAGAGATTTGGCACCAGAGGGTAAATGAGTCTGACCTCCTCATTAATGATTCGCAGGTCTTGTACAAGGTGGTACCATCCATTAGGTTTCTTTACAGCCAAAATAGGAGTGTTGAAAGGGGAGTGGGTTGGTCTTATTAAGCCCTTGCGCCATAGGTCCTTAATAATGGGCTGTAGGCCCTGAAAACTGCTAGTTGGAAGAGGGTATTGAGGTTGACAAGAGAAATGCTGAGAGTCCTTAAGACGAATTCTGACAGGGACACATTGAGCCAGAGAGGGGGTGGAAGTGTCCTAAATTTGAGGGTTTAATCTCAGGAGAGGGAGAAGGAGGGGAGCCTGTGGACGTGTGGGTTGCTTCTGCAAGGGTGAGTACAAAGAAAAGCTGAGATGGAGTGTGAGGGAGGCATGGAATTTGGCTAAGATGTCCCTTCTCAATAGGGGAATGGGGCATTGGGGCATTACCAAAAATTGGTGAAAGAAAGGATGGTGGAACCTACAAGACAGTGTGGGGGTTTTGTGGGAAAGGATGGTTTGTTCACTTACCCCGACAATGGGGGAACAGCATGGAAGAGTGGGTCCCCACTCTGAATAAGTGGCCCCTGTGTCTAAAAGGAAGTTAACTGGGCATCCATCCACCTTAATAGTGACCCTGGGCTCCTGAGAGGTGATAGTGGTCATCGGGGAGGGAGTCCCAAGGCCCATTCAGTCATCTGTGGCCAGTCCTAAAAGATCCAGGCCTGGGCTTGAGGCAAACACAGCTCCCCTTTGGGGGCTGGCGCAGTCCATGGCCCAGTGACCCCCTAATTGGCATTTAGGGCATAGACACCTAAGACACCTGGGATTAGGGCACTCTCATGCCCAGTGTCCTTTTGTCCCGCACTTAAAGCAGGGCCCAAGAAGCATCTTTGGTGGTGGGCATTTGGCCAGAAACGAAGGGGTCCGTGGGGGTAGGTCCCCATAGAGCCTGTGCCAGCACCTGGGTTTTTGTTTCCTGGCCTTCTCATCCCAGTTATGGTATACCTTAAAGGCTGTGGCCAGGACTTCAGTCTGAGGGGTCAAGGAGTCTGATGGGTCCCCATTCCAGTTTTTTAAGTTTTGCCCTAATGTTGGGGTAACTCTGAGAGAAGAAGTAGGTCATTAGAAGCTGTCTCTCACAAAGGGTTTCAGGGTCTAAATTAGTATATTGCTGGAGAGCCTTACTCGGTCTATCTAGGAAGGTGGAAGGGTTCTCGTTTTTATCCTAAATGATTTCTTGAGTTTTTCAAAGTTTACCGCCTTTTGAGCTGCCTGTCTTGAGTCCTGTTGGTGGAAAATTGGTCCCTCAGGGCCAATCCTGCAGTGGTATTGTAGTCCCAATTAGGATCCTGGTCAGGAACTGCCTGGGCACCTAGCAGGTGGACCGAGGTGATTTGATGGATCTCATCAGCATTGTTATGGGCTTGTTCCCAGACCTGTCTGCATTCTTCTGGGAGAAGGATATTGGCCAGGATCATGTAAATGTCATGAAAAGTAGGCTTGATGTAAGTACTGAAACTCCTTTATGTATGAGGCAGAGTTGGAGGTGTAGGAACCCAAGTGTTTTTCAATCTGTGAAAGGTCTGCTATGGAGAAAGGGACGTGGACCCTAAGGATCCCTTTGGCCCCAGCAACCTCTCTAAAAGGAGCTATGGTTGAAGTAGGGTGTGACTGGACAGACTGTGCACGGGAATGGGGAGTGGAAGGACTGAAGGAGGAAGTGAGACAGGGCCCAGAGAAGAACGTGAAGGAGCCAAAGGGGCGGGGATGGTGTGAGCAAGGGAAGAGAAGGGGGATTTGGGTGCCGATATGGTGGTGGCTCATTGGCTGGATGGAAATCAGTTGGTGAGGAGGCAGAAAGAGGGGGGGGCGGCGGTTATAAGCCAAAAATACATGCTTTGGGTTGCAAGAGGTACAGAGAGATGGAGTCAAGTGAAGGAGAGAGAAAGCTTGAATACATGAAATCTCTACCCTTTTTCTCGATTGCTCCCAATAGTTGTAGAGATTCTACAAAATGGCAGGGGTCTAAGGACCCATAAGGGGGCCAATTGGCTTGGTTATCTAAGGGATAATTGGGCCAGTCCTGAGTTGAAAATTTTATCAAATTTTTGGGCTTGATATCTCAGGTCAGGCTGAGGGTGTCCAAATTGTTGAGAGGCATTTGAGAGGGGAGTCTGCCGGCAGGAAGGAGGCACCCCCCATGGTGCAATGAGGAGGGGTATGAAATGTTGACTGGAGAGGTGTCCCACTTGAGCCAAATATTAAAACAGGACCTCAGGCCAAGGATTCGGGAGTTATCGGTATCTGCCAGTGAGAGAACCCAGAGGGCGGTGGGAGCTATGGGTCACCTGGAGCCAGGCTTTTTGAAACTAGAGAAGGGAAGGAGGAGACCCAAGTTCGAGGAGGGGAGGGGGTTTACCAGTTCTCAAGGTGGCCGAGGCTGGTAAGGAAGGGGCATGACTCCAAGAGGACCACTGCAACTGTGAAGGTCTGGGTGGGGTGTATTCCTCCCCACAAAACAACACAAGGACTGCCTGACAATCTCCGGCCAGTTCCCTGTTACCGAGCCTCGCGGGTTTTAGGAGTCCGAAGAGGGAGACTCACCCATTTGTAGGCCGATTGTGGATGTGAAGAAGGTGCTCTCCGCTCAGGTGGTGACCTCCGGCGGGATGGGGGTCCCGCTTAAAGGCAGGGCAGCCCCATCTGAGTCAAGGCACAATGAAAGCAGATCCATCACACTGGAAACTGAGGTTCAACCAAGAGATTTATTGGAGATGGCTGCCGGCCCGCTCAAATGGGGACAGCAGCCATGCAACCATAGGTTCGTTCGAGGACTGGCACGAACTGATCAGGCCTCAGAATTCAAAGGGGCAACGCTCCCTTCGTGGGATCCTGCTATTGGCGGGAGTAAGGCGGGCAGGTTGACGTATTGCATTGTCAATGGCCTGGTTGTCGCTAGGCGGGAATGGGTGGTGAAGTGGAAAGGGGCAAGGCTTCTGCCAAGAAATGGAACTTAGATTAGTCAGAGGAAATGGAAACTCCCTCATACCAGATAGGACCCATTCCACCTTCCTTAAAAGTGTGCCTTCTTCACTCGCGATTTCCTCCTCCCTTCCCTGCCCCCACTTCCATATTGCAGGCTGGCCGGTGTGGCCTGACGTCCTCAGCGCAGGGGTGGGTGACTGCAGAGTGCTGGGCAGAACACAGGGCGGGCCCAAGCGGTGCTGACACGTGGGGAGGGAGCAGGCGCGGCGGAGGAGGGGTTGGGTGTGTGAGTGGGTGTGTCTGTGAGTGGGAGAAACCAACTGTGGCCGCCCGGAGTGCGTATCTTTTCATAGTGCTGGGGGGAGCCGCTCAGGACGAAAGTGGCTACCACGCCCAGGAGCCCCTCACAGACAGATAGCCATCACACACCTGAGAAGGCTCTGGCTGCGGCCCTGCCCTTCCCCGGAGTCCCGCGCTCTGGCGTCTCCTCGCGCATCACCCCCGGCTAGGCACAATGGTAGGGTCCGCATACGTCATCCATTGTTTACAAATCAACCCCAGCCGGCAGGATTCCGGCTCCCCGGCTGCTTGCGCAAGGCGCTACAACCCCGCCGACCCGGCTTCCGCATCCCCCCGTCCCCGGCATCAGCTTCAGCCTCCGCCCGGCGCCCCGCGCCTGCCGGTGCCGCGGCCCGCCAAACCCGCGGGCAGCCGAGCCACCGCGACGCCCGCAGAGCTTCGGGTGCCCGGGAGGGGGCCATGCCGTGCCGGAGGGAGGAGGAAGAGGAAGCCGGCGAGGAAGCGGAGGGGGAGGAGGAGGACGACGACAGCTTCCTCCTGCTGGAGCAGTCGGTGACTCTGGGCGGCTCGGGCGAGGTGGACCGACTGGTGGCCCAGATCGGCCAGACGCTGCAGCTGGACGCGACTCAAGACAGTCCGGCCTCCCCGTGCGTGTCCTCAGGGCCGCCGTTACAGCCCCCGGCGGCGCTGCCGGCGGATAAGGCCCGGTCCCCGGCCGTTCCTCTGCTGCTGCGGCCCGCGTCGGCCGAAGCTGGGGGGCCCGCGCCCCCGGGAGCCCTACGCTGTGCCCTCGGGGACCGCGGTCGCTTGCGGGGTCGCGCTGCGCCCTATTGCGTGGCGGAGCTCGCCTCAGGCCCCAGCGCACTACCCGGGCCGTGCAGGCGAGGATGGCTCCGTGGCGCCGGCGCCTCCCGGCGCATTCAACAGCGACGGTGGACCCAGGCCGGAGCACGCGCGGGCGATGACGACCCCCACCGCCTCCTGCAACAGCTCGTGCTGTCGGGAAACCTCATTAAAGAAGCAGTGAGGAGGCTCCAGCGAGCCGTCGCCGCGGTTGCGGCCACCAGCCCCACGGGTGCCTCTGGGCCCGGTGGCGGACGCAGCGGACCGGACCCTGTCGCCCTGCAGACCTCGAGCGCCTTGCTCTGACCCTGGCCCCCTGGAGAAGGAAGAGGACGCCGCTGCGTACTACTCTGCGTCCTGCTCCCATCAACCCTGATCTGAAGCCTCGGCCTCTACTCCTGGGAGCGACAGCTTAGGCTGCACTCAGGCGCTTGGAAAGATCTTAAACCCAGAAGTGGAACCAGCCCGGGCAGTACTGTCCGAGAACTTAAAGTATGGTGAAATGCACGGACCAAGGCACGTCCGTGTCGCGTGAGAATTTCCCCGGTCACCCTGGGCCAAGGACCTGGGATAAACTGGGGGACCTATGGCAGCTACTTGCATCCACTTGTACCTGACCTAGCCCTTGTGGGCATCGTGTGCTTGGATTGTTTTAAAGATAGGGCTGGAAAGGGGCGGGAATCGCGAGAGCTTTCTAACAATACTTGAAAACTAGTGATACGGATACATTTTCTCGTTATTTTCCGGTGGAGGAGCTTACTGAAAATGGTGCTATAATTGCTGTGCAGAGAAATTCTGGGTTGAAGAATATAAAATCTTGGCATTGGGTGGGTTGGCATCGCCTCCTTTCTTAAGCCACTTAATCCGTGGCTGGAGGAGGTGGGAGACTCCACTTATGGAATGGGAGGGAGGGGCATAATTTCGAAGTTGGGAGAGTTAAATTTGATTGTGGACTTTTAAATGACTTGACCTTGCCACCCGTGGTTGAAGGTCACGTTTATGCTCTAAGTGAGAGGCAGTGGGGTTCCTACAAGAGCTAACTCACCCTTGGTGTCTTTTTCTCTCCAAGAAGAGCTCTGTCTTGTGCTTTGCCACCGCTTGGAGTCTCCCGAGGACACACAGGCAGGGAGGGACGTGTGAGAAGAGTTAGTTGCTTTTTCTGTGCTTTCCTCTTTCCAGAACTCCTCCTCTTGCAAGGCTACTCTTGGCCATGTCATTAGCTTTCTCAGAAACTGTCATAAACAATCTCATGTCCTCCCAGCCGACCTTTCTTACTCTGCCCTTTCTGTGGGGTTGGATGAAGGCCCTGGACGCCTTTCTGCTCTGTTCTGGCCCTCTGGAGTGGTGGGCCTGAGCCTCTGTGGTTCCTCATGCACAGTTATTTTCCTCCTGCCTGCCAGCTCTTCTTTGTGAGTGACTGAAACTTTTAAAAATGTGACTCTCCTCTAGGAGAAACTGCTGGCTTTACCCTTGTGAAACTTGATGGCGCTTTAGTAAGGTGCCACCCCCAAACTTTAAGGTAGCTAAACCAGTTTTTTAAAGATTCAATGGCTTGTTCATCCTCCAGATGTAGCTATTGACTGTACACTTCGCAACGGAGTGTCTGAACTTGTGGTGGTCCTGATTTATAGGATTTCTTAATTAAAATGTCTGCTGAATAAATTTGATTTTTGTTTTGGAGCATGGTTTGGCTTTTTGTTGGAAGATGGGGGAGGGAAATAAAAGCCTATAGGGCATACCCTTATTAATGAAGAATGCACTTAGAGTAATTAGGGGGACCTAGGTAAGTGGCTGGGGCTCACCATTGTATCCTTGTAGAGTTGCAGCCCTTGAGTGCTCCTGGGTTAATGTTCTGCACAATCAGAAAATTGAGTCCAGGTTTTTAGGAGCTGCCAGGTAGGCTCTTACTCCTTTTGTGGAAAACATATTCCAGAAACATTTTCTGGACCGGAGGGCAAAGAAATACTTGGTCTAGAGGGAGATGGGTTTTCATTTTTTCTTTTTTGATGCTAGGGATTGAATCCAGGGGTGCTTTACCACTGAGATACATTCCCATCCCTTTTTATTTTCACTAGATTCTCACTAAGTTGTTTAGGGCTTCCCTAAATTGCTGGCTTTGAGCTTAGAATCTTCCCACCTCAGCCTCCTGAGTCACTGGGATTACAGACATGTACTGTGTGTGCCACACCACTGTGCCCAGCAGAAGATAGGTTTTCCTCAATTTTTTTGGGTGAAGAATAGCAAAGCCTGCCTATTTTCTCCTTTTAAGACTAACTCCTTGGAGCTGTAGCCTGGGGGAAGAAAAACAGTTTTAGCTGGACACAGTTGCTCACCTGAAATCCCAAAGACTTGGGAGGCTGAAGCTGGAGAATAGCAAGTTTGAGGCCAGCCTTAGCAAGTTAGCAAGACTCTGTCTTAGAAAATAAAGAAGGCTGGGGATGTAACTCAGTAGGAAAGCACCCCTGGGTTCAGTCCCCAGTGCCAAAAAAAAAAAAAAAGTTGGGGGGGCTGTATAGTGATTTATTTAGTAGTTGTAAAGATGGCTTGGTTTGAGCTGGCAAGGATTATATTTGACCTCATGAGGTGGTCCCCTCCTCCGCCCCTCAGCCCCGACTTCCCTGGGGCAAATAGCCTTTGCTGAGCCCCTTCCTACTTCCTGTCTGCCTTTCCAAGGAAAGCTTGGGGGCAGCCCCCGCTCTGCCTGTCAATCCCTTGCAGGACCTTTCCTGCCCTGCAACTCTTCCACACTGTGCCCTGCACACAGCTGGTTAGTGCTTAGTGACTGGGGCATGATTCAGTCCTGCTGCTTACCAGCTGTGTTTGATGAGCAAGTCACTGCCCTGAGCTTCCCTCTTTTCTCATTTATAAAATGGTAATGCTTAGTAAGGTAGTTGGGAGGGTTAAATGAGGACCTGAGGTGTCTGGGAGACTTAAGTGTTCAAAACATAACTGCTAGTTCTTTTTTTTTTTTTTTTTAATCTCTTTTTTAAATATTTATTTTTTAGTTTTAGGTGGACACAATATCTTTATTTTACATTTATGAGGATCAAACCCAGTGCCTCATGCATGCTAGGCGAGCGCTCTACCACTGAGCCACAACCCCAGCCCCCATAACTGTTGATTCTTGGCACTACCACATGGCTTTATGTGCCTTGAGATAAGCCCCAAATTTCCATTTTATAGATGACACTGAGACTTAGGAAATTAAGGGATTTGCTTGAAGTTACCACCTCTTAAGTGAGGAAGCTAGAATTTGAACTTGGATAATCTGACTGTAGCTTCTCCTGCTTTCCTCAGTTAGGTCTTTGGGTCTTATTGTACCACTTACAGGAAACTCTTTTTTTTTTCTTCCCAGGGGTTTTACCCCTGAGATACATCCCCAGTCCTTTTTTTTTTTTTTTTTGTGTGTGTGTGTGTGTGTATGGTGCTGGGGATTGAACCCAGGGCCTTGTGCATGCTAGGCAAGCACTCTACCAACTGAGCTTTATCTAGAGCCTCTAAAAGACTTTTGGACACCACTCTCACCCATGTTGGATTTCTTGGAGTTCTTTGGAACATCCCACAAACTTTGACCCACCAATACTTCAGCACAATAGCAAACTTTTCTTGTGCATCAGCCACATATCTGCACAGTATAGGCATCTGGAATGAGGCAGGGTTGAAACATCCTGATAGAACTCACAGCAGATTTAGACACACAGACCTTCATATGAGGAAATAGGCATTGCATAAGAGCGGCCCAGATAACAAACACCATATGGCTGTTTCCTTCAGAACTGAATCACAAGTCCTCTGTAAGATGAGGATTGGGCCAAGAGAGATCTCACTCAGGGCAGATACCCTGGAGGTTTGCAACCTGACTGGAACAGCACTCAGGAATATAATAGGAATGGGGACTGCAACTAAGGAGAAAAGATCTATAGAATCTGAGCAGCTAAGAGGAGAAGGGAACTGAGTAGGGAGGAGAAAACACTCTGGTGCACATCTTTATATGACTCTAGGACTTGGTGATAGGGCAGGAGTTGAACTCAGGCTCAGATTGAACCTCATTGACTCTCTTACCTCCTGTCTGAGCCTACTCATGTTTCTTTGCGGGGGGTGGCAAGGATGAAACATTTATTTATTTTTTAGTTGTAGATGGGCACAATATCTTTTATTTTATTCATTTTTTTTAATGAGGTGCTGAGGATAGAACCCAGTGCCTCACACATGCAAGGCAAGCGCTCAGCCACTGAGCTACAACCCCAGCCCAAGGATGAAACATTTTAATCTGATGGTAGCACAGGACACTGTACAGGAGCCCTCAAAGCTCAAAGATTTGCCCTCCAGATTCTAAGAAAGTTCTGGAAATAACTAGATTTGCTAGTCTGTCCTCCACCAGTGGCAGGTGGCAAAGTGAATGGGGAAAACATTGTGGTCTGCCCTCATGTCATTTATAGATCCAGTCCTAAGCACAGTTCTTCTAATTCACCAGTTCTTCAGGCTGAAAACAAGCCAGTCTTCTCTGTACTCTGCAGAATCACTGCCATGAATAATGTTCCTGTCAACTTGGATGTAAAAGCTGTCTTGGATGGTTCCAGGCTTGGAGTCTGTAGGGACTATGTCCCTGAACATCACTTAGCCAGTCTTCTCAACATCTAGCCTTTCCCAGACCATGGCAAACACTGGCACTGAACATGTATTTCACCAGGCCAAAGAAGAATGGATGGTACTTCAGGTCAGTGTAGTGTTCCTTAAGAAGGCCTTCAGAAGCCTACATGGATTTCAGACTAAGAAGGTGGAATCCCTTCTCAAAATGCTTGATGACCTCTCCCACAAGATCCTGCTGGACCCTGATGGCCTTGATGGTAATGAAAATGTGCTCATCGTTGGCCTTGGTCCTGTCCAGCTGTTTGGGCTTCAATCCACATTCCTTTTCTCACACCCCCTAATCCTTGCTACTGATCCAGCCGTTTGCAAAGGCTATAGAGTGACTAGCCCCAGTCCTAGGCCTGAAGAAGTGTGTCTGTCTAGGAGGGAAAGGCACTTCCCAGGTGTTGCATCAAGTGATAGCCCATTCCTAGTACTCATGACTTTGGCTTAGATATCCCTAGCTGGACATAGCTGAGAGGACTCCATCTTCTGACAGGGTCTGTTGCCTAAGTTCCCCTAATAACATTGCAAGTGTTAAGCCCAGAAGGATTGAAGCAATAGGGAAGTGGCAAGAAACTGGGTATGTGTGTGTAGGTAGGGAGGGCTGGTTCCGAGGTTCATGTGGGAAGTTACAAGGGCAGCAACCTGGTGTCTCATAAATAGTAGTTGGAGGGAGATCAGGGTGACAAAAATTTGGCAGTTAAAACTAAAAAGTGGATACAGGCTGGGAGATGCTGGCAGGTGGGCAGTGCTAGCTAATGTGCTTAGCACTTACCCTGCACCAGGCTCTGTCCTGAGCACTTTACCACTTTACCAGCTCATCAAGTCTCTATGTGAGGAAGAAAAGAATACCCAGAAGGAGCAGACAGAAAGTAAGAGTAGAACCAACGGAAGCTGTAGGCTGAACTGTGGGGGTTGGGGAGGTATGTCTACAGGTGTGCATGTGTGTCTACACACAGGTCCATCTATGTCATCACCATTTATATTCCCTGTGGTCAGGCTACAGGAGTCCAGGGCATGGTCCATCAGATCCTGCTCAGTGACTTACTTTCATTGTCTGTTTTTGAACACTGGAGTTAATTCAGCTTCCTTTTTAAAAAAAATCAACCCATTAAGTAGTGTATTTTGAACATCTGCATTAGTTCCTCCTGTCTTCAACCCAGCTGAAGAGAAGTACTATTTGGCATGCATCTGGAGAAAGGGCCTCTTTTTTTTTTTGGTATCCAGGATTGAACCCCAGGCACTTCACCACTGAGCCACATCCTCAGCCCGTGTTTATATTTTATTTAGAAACAGGGTATCGCTGAGTTTCTTAGGGCCTCCCTAAGTTGCTGAGGCTGATTTTTAAATTGCCATCCCCCTGCCTCGGCCTCCTGAGCCATTGAGATTACAGGTGTATGCCACCATGCCCAGCTGAAGAAACTGTCTTATGACACCAGTGGGGAAGATTTCACCAATATTGAGCTGTGGAATCTAATTTAGACAGGTAAGACACAAGCAGGCCAAAGGCAGGGCAAAGGTAACAAGATGATAACCAACTTGTGGTTTATTTTAACCCACCCAAATCAATAAGTCAAATAAACTGCCTGAACAGCCTACCAGTGGGGGGTTGTGAATTTTACCTCCTATGAGTCAGTTAACAATTGACAAAAGGAAGCAGTTAAACTCTGTGGTATCAGTTTTAGTTTTCATTCTATTGCTGTGTAGCCACAGAGGATTCATTCACACAAAACTCACAGAAACATGCAGCTGTCACAGGCATGAAAGGTTGCACAAAGTTGCTTCAACAGCCAATCTGTCAGGTCTGGGCCTTGCTGGGGTAGGAGAGTTTGTGACATAGGGTACTATCCTATGGGACATCCATACCTTCAGCCCCTCCCCTGAGCCCTGCTCTTTAAACATTCTCAGAGTGAGGACCCCTCTTCCAGATGGTTCTTTGGAGCATCTTTAATTTCTCCCTGTCTTCCGCTGCACTGGGTCAAGCACTGTGTCTCCTGTTAAGCAAATCCCTCCTTTGGCCCTGTTCCCCTTCTTTGTTTGTTTATTTT